GACTTGGGCCAGCCCTCTAATCTCCTGTCCCTTGGTTATCAGAGGGAACAACACAGGATGCCGTGCTGGTACCGGAGCGGGCCCGTCATATTCTCAGGGTGCCAGCCGCGAGGGAAACCAAGTGGGCACGGATTCCCAGTCCTTAGGCCACATCGGCTGCCGGGCATTCCAGGACCCTGGCACCCCGCCAAGGGTGAAAACAGAGCTGCTGCCTCCTGAGTTGCATTCTGCCCCCTCCTCTTGGGTTTGCATCTCATTGCTGGGTTTGCAACATGCCTAATCTCTGCGTGTGCAGACTCAGAGGAGCCAGTTGAGAGGGAGCATTGCCAACAGCTTGGAGCCTCCATGAGGCCTGCTGACCACCCCTCCCCCAAGCCCCTCAGCGGGCGAACAGGTCCAGAGCAGACTCCAGAAACAGCTGCTGGAGCTTCAGCTGGCTCAGGCTCTACGGTGCCCGCTGAGATGGACCCAGTGAAGGACACTAGCCTGGGGTGTTCTCTCTCCCTCTCTTCCCAAATGGAAGTCCTGCCACATCCCACCCCGCCCCCACAGCCTTCAGTAGAGACGCAGAAGGGAGTTGTAAAGCCCATCAGTCATGCAAGTGAGGCTGGGTTCTGGTTCACCAGGCAGCTGGACTCTTCCAAGAATGGAGAGAACTTAACTGTGCAGTCAATAAGTAAGTGTCAAATACTGAGTACTCTGTAACCCATTGTATTTCCCTTTTTGCTCTAGCTGCCAGGAAGCTCAGAACTGAACAGGCGGCGAGATCACTAGGCATCTTACAACAGATTCTTGGTATAATTGGCATAAATCTCTCTCCACGAAATCTCTGTTGAATATTATGTTTGTGTTTCAAGTCATCACGATTCTTTCACATGATGAAGGTGGAATATAAATGAAAAATAAGACATGAAAGGAAATGTCCGGTAGACATCTCTACTTTGAGATATAAATGAGTGCTTTTCTCAGAGAGGATGGGTTTCTGTTTAAGACTTAGAAAAGTGGCTGCATGTCTCTTTTCCTCGCTCTCCCTCCCTTCTCTCCCTCTTCCTCTCCATCCTTTGTTCTCTAACTACTTCTTTTCCCTCCTTCCCTTCCTCTTTTTGTGTCCCCCCCCTCCAGCCCCCTCCCCCCCCCCCCCGCCCCCCCCCCCCCCCCCCCCCGCATCTTCTTCTTGCTCACCCCTTGCCTCTGGGCGGCCAGCTTAATACTGATATCCTTTACAGACCTGCAGCACTGGCTCTTGCCAAGACCTCGCCCCAGCCTTTACCTCATTTATTCTTCCTGGGGATTACCTGGCAATTATGACGATTTCCACTTTACCAAGGAAGACACGAAGGCCTGGCGAGTTTAAGTGATGTGCGCATGCTCACAGCATACACTCTATGACTTCCTATCACGTTCAGGTCCAGGACTCATGAGTCTAACCCATCACACTCTCTGCTGCACCTCACTGCCTCTCAAAGCCAGCCTCACCCACCGGGCCACCCACCGGGCAACCCACCGGCCAAGATCACTGAGAGCACCCCGAACAGAAGAGGATTCAAAACAATAACCCACCCACCCTGTCTTCCCTTCTGAGATCTCTTTAAGAGTTGAGATTCTCAGTGGGGCCCCCAGGACCTATTAAAGGGAGTGGTGAATTGCGACATGGGTCATTTGGTCATTCATTTGGTTGAGAATGCCCTATGTGCTAGGCAAAGCTGAGACTAGGGTGAGGCAAGAAGGCAGCTAAGGTGCCAAATTCAAGGACGCGTTCACTTTCAGGTGCCATTCCTGGAAGTGCAGGACCTGAGAGGGGGTGTCTCCTTAAAGTTTATGCCCTGGCACGTTGCTTGTCTTTCACTACTTCTGCCCTGGTACCAGGCACCTGGCTGTTCAGTGGTGAGCAAAAGTGCCTGCCCTCATGGAACTTACCATCTATTATGGGAAACAGGTATTGATCAAATAATCATGCTAACAAAAGGCCATTCTAAGGGTGACAAGTGCCATGAGGAAAGGGACATGGGGCTGGAGAGGGTATTATGGTGGGGGTGGAGTGGGGAACGACAGTGAAGGCTGAAGGATCCGTAGGAGTTTTTCAGGTGTGCTCTGAGTAGAGGACACAACAAGCTCACAGGTGCCATGGCAGGGTGGATGTGGCATTGGGGGGCAGGGGGAGGGCGTGCTGGTGAAGGATGGAGGGGCCAGAGCAGGAGAAATGCAAAATGGTCCAAGCAGTCTGTTTCTAATAAAGTGCCAGAGTCTGCAAATGATTGACTAAAAAAACCAAATCCAATCCAATGAAGAGAATTCAGAGCCACCCGTTAATGAGGTCACTCATACCCACCTTCCTGATCAGCTTTCTTCATGTGCAGATATGCAAGAGACTGTGCCTAACCCCCTCCAAACTCATCTTCATCCATTTCCATATGGCAGTGTCTGTGATAGAATCTAACGTTGGCCACAATTTGCAGATGAACAAATGGGAGCATAGAGAAAAGCTGGATAACCCGCTGTCTCAGTCAGCTCAGGCTGCCGTAACAAAATGCCATAGAGGGGGTGGCCTAAACAAGATTTATTTTTCACAGTTTCGGAGGCTGGAAGTCCAAGAAAAAGGTGCAAGCCAATTTGGTTCCTGGGGAGGAACCAGGTTGCTGGTTCTCTTCCTGGTTTGCACACTGACGCTCTCTCGTCCTCACCTGGTGGAGAGAGAGAGAAAGCACACTGCTATGGTGTCTCTTCCTTTTGGATTAGGGCTCCACCCTTATGACCTCATTTAACCTTTATCACCTCCTCACAGGCCCTGTCTCCAAATATAGTCACATTAGGGGTTAGTACATCAACATCTGAATTGGGGTGGGAGAGCACACAAACTTTCAGTCCCTAACACCTGCCAGGGCTCACACAGCCAATCACTGGGATTTGAACACAGGCAGTGCCCCTTTGGGGACCTAGGCCTCTAACCACCAGACTTAACTACCTCAGGATGTGTTGTGTGTGAATGCTGCCCATCTGAGAGAGAAGTGCTCCTCAGGGAAGAAGTGTTCAGTGATCCTTTACAAATCCATAGGACCTTGTCCCCACCTGGCCTGATCCCACCCCAGGGTGATCCTGGTGATCCTTCTGGAAGAAGTTGGGCTGAAGAGTGTGGCATGGAGGTGAACCAGACCTGAAACATAATGCATGAATCTGGGGGTTCTCCTGTTTCCAGTTTACTCAGAGCAGGCCCCAGGCTCCAGTCTAGATTCCATCAGGAATGGACTGCGTGACCTTGGGGGAGTCCCTCGACATCTTCCTGCCCTACGTTCCTGCCTCGGTGACCTCAACCCCTGTTCCCTGACCGGTGGCCCGCTGGGGGCCATTCCGTGGGCCAGGAGGTCGGTGCCCCCTCCCCCACCCCACCGCTGCAGGCGCCCGGTCCCCACCCTGGACCGCGCAGGTGGGGAAGGGGCGGCGTGCGGCGCGCCCGGCGGGCAGGGATCGGTGGTGTCGCCCCGTTCGCCCCAGGCCCCGCCGCAGCCACGGCGAGTCCGCTGCGGCCGCAGGGAGGGAGCGCGGGGGGCCGCCCGCGCACGTCGCCTACCCGCTCCGCACGCCCGCCCGCTCCGGGCCCGGCCCCCTCATCCTCCGCTGTCCCCGCCACCCCAGACGCCCGCCCGGCGCCCCCCGGCCCTCGGGGGGGGCTGGACTCCCCCGCCCGGGTGGGCCCCCGGCCGCCGCCCCTCCCGGGCGCCCGTTCCCTCCCGCTCCCCGCGCGTCCCCCTCCCGGCCGCCAGCCAACTGCGTGCCCCCAGGGCCGGCAAGAAGCCACATGCCCCCGCAAGGAATGCCGGGCCTGGCGGGCGGGGGGCGGCGCTGGGCAGGGCCGGGCTGGGCAGGGCAGGGAGCTCCCCGCCGGGAAGGTTGGTGAGAGGGAGAGAGCGGCCCGCGCCCTCCCCGGCCCCCCGCGCCACCCCTGCGCCCGGCCGCGGGACCTCACACTTTCCCCGCCGGACACGCGAGCGGGACGCCCCGCGGAGCTGCGGGTGCGGGGGGGGGGGCCGGGGCGGGGCGGCTCGGCCCGCCCGGGCAGCCCCCGCCCCCCTCCGCGCGCCCCCCCCTCAGCCCCCCCCTCGGCCCCGCCGGCTCGGAGGAGGGGGCAGGCCGTCGTGTTTCCCCGCACCCCTCCCAGCCGCCGCCGGCTTTGGGGCCCCGGTGGGGAGCAGGGGGCTGATTAGCCGAGGAGCAGGGGTGTGGCCAGCGGGGCCCCGGGTAGTGAGTCACACACGCTGCTCGCCCAGTCCCGGGCCGCGAGCGCGGTCCCAGCCAGAGCCGCGCGCCACCCTGGCCCGAAGAGTGTCCCCGGGCTTGGCATGAGGACCCCGGGGTGCCGAGGGAGGGGCTGAAGCCTGGCGCAGTGGTGGAGGAGGGCGGTAAGCGGCGGCCTGGGGAGACTCCCCTAGACGGAGCGGGTGGGGTTTGGAGTCAAGGCTGGCCCACCGGCCCGCACCAGGACCCCCCAGGCCCTGCCTGTACCTGCCCTGAGCTGGCAAAGCGGGCCTGGCTGCATTCCCTGGCAGCCTCTGGGTGAGGGGGCTGCCCAACGCGGCGCTGAGGGGCCCATTTCATCCGCCAGTCCCCCTTGGCCCCAGCTGGACTTGAGTCGTCCCTCCCCTGCTCCCCATTGCAGACTCTTGTGCGGAGACTCCTGTGGATTCCTCATACCCTTTGGTCTTGGGGTCCAGGCTGTGCTATCCAGTCTTGCCCCCTGGCCTGAGCTGCCCGTCGGCCTCTGACCCCGTGGGGCTGGTGGCTCCAGTCGTCCCCAGGACCAGCCCAGGATAGAAATGGCATTTCCTCTTGGCCGGGCTACAGCTGTTTTTGTTGTCTCTGTTCTCAAGCGCTTCCTCTGGGGATGGCAGGGAGGGTAACCAGACTCCACGGGACCCCCCGCTTGCCCTCTCTGACACTCACCCTTCTTCCCCTGTCTCTTTGCTCCTCTTCCTGTGCTGGACCCGCCTTCGCGTCCCCAGGACAGAATGACTGACAACATGAAGGAGTGCCTGGCGCAGACCAAGGCGGCCGTGGGGGATATGGTGACCGTGGTGAAGACCGAGGTCTGCTCACCACTCCGAGACCAGGAGTATGGCCAGCCCTGGTGAGGCCCTTGTGTGGGGGCAGGAGAGGGAGAAGTGGGGAATCTCGGGGCTGGGTTGGTTGGACGCCCTGGGGAGAGCTCCCACTCCTGGCCTACCGTCCTTCACCTGCTCTGGGCAGCTCCTGGGAGCAGACATGAGCGAGCGCAGGCTCTAGAAGGCTAGAAGAACCCACACAGTGGCCCTAGAAGGCCTGGGCCGAGGTCTCAGAACTCCTACCTCTTCACGATCCCCTGCACTGAGCAGGCAGCCCAGCTGGGACTCCTCCACCCGCCCTGCATCCCCGAGTCCCCGTGGCCTCCTGGCCGGGTCCTCGGCTTCTCTGTCCACCAGCCTCCCACTCTCTGATGGCTTCTTTGCTTCCTTTCCTGGCCCCTGGCCTGGCCAGCTCTAGGAGACCAGACCCCTCAACCATGGAAATGGAGCCCAAGAAACTGAAGGGAAAGCGTGAGCTCATCATGCCCAAAAGCTTCCAGCAAGTGGACTTCTGGTGTAAGTGGAGCCTGGGGCTGTTCCTGGCTTTCTCCTACCTTCACCCCTTCACCCTGCTCCCACCCCCCAACCCCCACCCCACCTCTGCTTAGGGAATTTGCAGCCTAAGACTAACGATAGGCACTCGCCTATGATGTATCAGACACGGGTCCAGGCTTCTGTTAACCCTCACCCTGAACCCCTGAGGTGGCTCTTAATTGGTCCCATCTTCCAGGTGAGGATACCGGGCCTTGGTGGGGGCTAAGGACCCTACCTCGGGTTCCACAGACCTCAGATGCACACAGTTGCAGTTCCAACCCAGACCCATCTGACTCCAAAGCTGCGCTGTAAACTTAAAACAAAGGGAGCTACTGGTCTCCTCTGCATTGGCGGGCCTGTCCGTTGAGCCCCCAGGGAGGGTAATGGGTTTTTACCACTGAAGACTCAGGGGCCTGTGGCTGGCTGGGGTGGAGCCAGGGCTGGGACTCGTGGGTCCCACGCAGTGGGCTTTTCACTGCTCGATGCCATCCTCAGGGTGGGCCTCCCTGGAGCCCCTCAGCCTCCGCCGTGGGCGTCCTGCCTCCCTGCAGCAACTGAGGCTCTCTCGCTCTTTCCGTCCCTTCAGTCTGCGAGTCCTGCCAGGAGTACTTTGTGGATGAGTGCCCGAACCACGGTCCCCCAGTGTTTGTGTCCGACACGCCAGTGCCCGTGGGCATCCCAGACAGGGCTGCCCTCACCATCCCGCAGGGCATGGAGGTGGTCAAGGAAGCCAGTGGGGAGAATGACGTGCGATGCATAAATGAGGTCATCCCCAAGGGCCACATCTTCGGCCCCTATGAGGGGCAGATCTCCACCCAGGACAAATCAGCTGGCTGCTTCTCCTGGCTGGTGAGTGTTCCCTGGCCTGCGCCGCGGGAGAGGGTGCTAGCTAGTGTGGAAGGAAACCAGCAGGGGGAGCCATACGCTGGCCCAGCCTGGCCCCGAGAGCTTTTCTGCCATCACTCCGGGATGCTGGGATGACGGATCTCGCTATCCCCTTGCCCTGGCTGAGTAGCTTGCCACCCTGGGTGGCTGAGGGCCTTGCTGAGGGGCCCATCTGGCTGGGGTTGGCAGAATCAGTGGTGGGGCTCTAGGGAGCCCATGGCCGGCCAGCCAGGAAGAACTCAGGGCGATTTCCCCGTGAATGTTCGTGTGTGTGTGTGTGTGTGTGTGTGTGTGTGTCTGTCTGGCGGGCCATTCTGTGGCATTTACAAAGGGTTGACCCGGGCCCTCCTCTGGAGTGGGTGACTTGGGTCTGGGAGCTGTGGGGAATGCAGAGCATGGCATTCAGCCCAAAAAGCAGTGATGCCGGGTGCTGGGCTGGGTGCCGGAGAACATGGCCCCTGCTCTCAGGGAGTGGACGGTCTGGTGGGGAGAACAGGTACTGGACAGGTATGTACACATGTGATCATTGCCACAGAAGTGTAGAGGACAGGACACTCTAGGAGCAGAGGGAGATGGTGGTGTTTGTTGTGCTTGGGGATCTGGGGCCTGGAGCCCAAGTTCATTATGTCAGCCTGCTTTGCTATTTACTATCAGGCGTGACCTTCGATGAATCATTTAACTTCTCTGTGCCTGTTCTGTAACAGAATTATCATAGTTGATGGTGGAGACGAAATAGGTCAATACGATGAAGTTTTTAGATCCGCGCCTGCCTTTGGGAAGCATGCGGTGAATATCAGCTATTATAATTGTTGTCGTTGGCCTACTTGAGGGGCTTGGGCAGGATTTCCTTCAGCTTGAGACTTGAGGAATGAGTAGCAGTTGGGGGACGGGGCATGGAAAAATGCTGTAGGCACACAGAGCAGCTGAGCGAGAGAAACTCCAACAGGTCCGGTGTGGTGCTAGCAATGAGCCCAAGAGTCAGTGTGGTGAGAAATCAGCAGAGAAGGAGGCAGGGGCAGATCACACGACGTTTCATAAGTCAGGGTAAGTGCGTGCTTCTCCTGCGGGCCAGGGGAAGCCACTGAAGCAGGCCAGGCAGAAGCCTTGCAGAATGGGGAGGTTAGGTAGCAGAATGGAGAACTGGGATGGGTAGGAGGCCTGGGTGGGGGGCTCAGGTCAGAAAAGATGCTGGTTTCAACTCGGGTGCTAGAGGCAGGCACATTTGCAAGAGACTTAGGAAGGAGAATCTCTGAGATTTATTAATGGATGGGAAGAGGAAGGATTGTTAGGGATGACTCTCGACTCTAGGGAGTCAAGCTTGAACAGAGATGGAGGAAGGTGGGGCCAGTAGAGAAAGTTGGGCTAGGGAGTAAGAAGATCATTCATGAGTCATTAATTAAACCCTTCTTGTGGGGCTTTTTTGTGCTAAGCATTGAACTGGCCTTGGAGATAGAGCGAGGGGCCAGATCAGACATCAGTCCTGCCCTCATAGAGCTTATTGTGGGGAAGCTGGAATGAATCAAAGAATAAGATAAGTAAATGTAAAATCATGACTCAGGTGATGAAGAGACAGTGAGGCTAGGAGAAAAGGGAACAACCGGAGGAATTGATGTGGCCAGAGGTCAGGGCAGGCTTTCTGATGGTGGAGCTGTGATTGAGGGGAGAAAATGCCCACCAGATGGGCAGAACAGCATGTGCAAAGGCCCTGTGGCAGGAGAGAAGATGGCACGTTTGCATAACTGGAAGAAGGTCATCGTACCTGGAGTGCAGCCAACACAGGGGCTGGGAGGGGGAGACAGAAGCTTGGATATATAGGGCCCAGTAGACCAATGAGAAGTTTCGTTTATGTTTTGAAAGGGTGACTTTGGCTGCAGCCTGGCGAACAGATCAGGGGTGGGGGCATTGGTGGAGAATGGATACCCATAGCCCAGTTAGAGGGCTACAGTGGTTCTCTACATCGGTGACAGTGGAGGCTTGAGCTAGGGTGAGGTGGCGACATGGAGACAGGGGAACTGGTTTGTGACCTCTTTCAGACATGAGCAAGAGTGATCTCTGGAAACAGATTGATCGGCCTAGGTAAGGGAGAGGGAATTGGCCAGAACAAGCCCTTCAGTGTTCCGCTCTCAGCAGGTCAGGAAGGCATCTCTGAGAAGTGGAATACAGGGCGGGGCCTGGGTGGAGGGCAAGATCCCCATCCTGGTTTTGGACTCCCTGAGTTGGGAGTGATGGCAAGGTCCCCAGTGGCTCTGTCAACTAGGCAGTTAGCTACATGGGTGCTGTAGCTTAGAGAGGTGGTTTGGAGGTGTCACTGCCTGAGTCACCTGTGCACAGGTGTCCCTGGGGCTGGGGGGTGTGGAGGGCAGCCCCTAGGGAGAACAGGTTAACAAGAGGTGGAGAGGGCCTGGGGTGAGCTTTGAGGAACGTCAGCGGTTAGCGGTCCAGGAGGGGAGCGTGATCCTGCAAGGGTGACAGGAATTGCAGCCTGAGAGGTGGGGAGGCCAGAACAGCCAACAAGAGAAGGGCTCAAAAGTGTCTGTCAGATTTAATGCCGGGGAAGTCACCGGCCACCTTAGCAAGAACTGTTCCTATCAGACAGTGGTTCTCGACCTGGGGCCCTTGGCTCTTCCCCGCTCTGCCCCTGAGGTTTGGTACCGCCTGGAGACATTTTTTGCCGTCACAACTTGGGGTGGGGTTCCGCTACTGGCATCTAGAAGGCAGAGGCCGGGGATGCTGCTAAACCTTTCATACTGCACGGGACAGCCTCATACAACAAAGAATGGTCCGGCCTCGGTGGCCGATGGTGCCATGGTGAAGCCCTTCGAGAAAGTGGCCAGACGGGAACACTCTTAGAACCCGGGTGACCAGTAGAGCCGGGGAGATCAGTGGAGGAGAGACAGGCGTTGGGAGGGGATGGCTGCAGGCAGACATGGGGGGCAGGGAGCTTTGTTCAGAGAAAGACATTAACATCCTTGAAAAACCTGGTGAGGGGGTCCCCCTGGAGGGCTAGTTGAATCTAGGGGAGTGATGAGGTGTGGTGGACAAGCTGTTCTGTCACCGAGAAGGTTCAGATGGAGACGTTGCCTACGGAAAGGAGGTGGGTCAACATCTTTTCTGTCACTGGAGGGATATCCTAGAGGTTCGGAACAGATGGAGGGTAGGCCTAATCACGACCCCCCTGAGGATGGCCATGTCCTCACCCCTGGATCCCGTGCATATGTCCTCGTCACTGGCCAAAGGGACTCTCGGGAAGGGATTACATTAAGGCTCTTGAGATAGGGAGATTATCTTGGATTATCAGGGTGGGCTCCATGGAATTACAAGCATTTTTATAAGAGGGAGGCAAGAGAGTCAGACTCAGAAAAGATGGGAAGATGTTATCCCACTGGCCTTGAAGATAGAAGAGGGAGCCAGGAGCCAGGGAATGCAGGCAGCCTCTAGGAGCTAGAAAAGGCAAGGAAGTAGAATCTTGCCACTAGCCTCCAGAAGGAACTCAGCCCTGCCGACACCTTGATTTTTAGGACTCCTGACCTCCGGAACTGTGAGATAATAAACGGGCGATGTTGAAACCACAGTGTTGTGGCAGTTTGTTAAGAAGTGATGGGAAGTGAATGCAGTGGGCTTGCGTGTCTTGGGGGGGACATCTGCTAACACTTGCGGAGAGGTGGAGAGAGCTGGCTTGAGCCAGGGGAGCGGTGCAGGTGAGTTCAGGTGGGGTGAGCGAGCTGCAGGTGCCCGTGCCCATGAGACACGCAGGTGGTCTGTCCAGGGGCACGCCGGCGCATGCCGGTCAGCCGAGGACAGGGGTCTGGGCGTAAGGGACACAAAGCACGTGAATGGATGCAGCTGAGGCCCTGGGAAGGGATGGGCGGTGGGGGCCTGGAGGCAGAGAAGTAGGAGGGACTGAGGGCTGCTGGGCTTGCACAGGGCACGGGGCTCTGTGTCCTGGCCACGGGCAGTTTCGAGATGAAAGCCATGCTGCTGGGGATGGAGGTGTGAGTGGGAGGTGAGGAGAGAGCCAGCAAGGGTGGATGGCTTGTTGTAGAAGTCTGGCTGCTGTGAGCAATGATTCTAGGTCAGCTGTGTGCCACGTTCCTCCTCCAACAGCCCTGCAGGTGAAGGTTGCTGGCCTTCTGGTCCTGATGAGGGAACCCGGGACTGAAGAGGTTAAGCACATGATCCCCACCTCCCGCGGCTGACACACGGTAGACGGTGGCTTCTCCACGATGCCAGGCTTTAAGGATGGGAGGCGAGGTGGCCTGTTCCCAACCAAGTAACGCCGAGGCAGGGTGTCGGTCGCTGGTGGTTGTAGTACTTGTACAAGGCTGTAGGGCCAGGGAGGAGGGGAGTGGATTTTGACTGGGCAGATTGAAGATGGGTCTTGAAGGATGGGTAGAAGTTCAGCAGAGGCGAAAATCTAGCGCTGTGCTCCCTCCCCTGCCCACAAGAACCTACACCTTGGGACAGCCCAGCTGGGCAAACTTAGGGTCTCGAAAGTAGGCAGCTTGCCCGGGTTTGCGGGCCGGGCATGGGGCTGGGGTCTGGGGAAAAGGGAGAGGGGGAAATCCCTGGAGTTTGCAGCCTGGTCGTAGACCAGCTCTACCAGTCGAGAGTGGGCGTGGCCTGCAGATCAGGGCCCAGGGGCCAGCCCTGTTGCTCCGTTGGAGGTTCCTTCCTAGGGCCTTGGAGCTGTGAGCTGTGACATGTGGATGGGTGCGGGGACGGAGTAGCTGGAGGTGGCGGGACCATGTGGAGGCTCTGACCTTTGCGATCCAGAGAGGTAAGAGGCGTTCAAGGCCCTGAGAGAACAGATGTGCAAAATGGCTCAAGAAAGCAGGGCCTGTGTGTGTGTGTGTGTGTGCGCGCGCGCGCATGCGTGCATGCATGCGTGTGTCCTCAGTCAGGGTTTCAGGTGGGGAAAAGCAGGAATGAGGTTGGTTGAACGGAGGGAGAGGGGAAAGGTGGGG